AGTGGGGGGGATTCAAGAGGATTAGAGTCCTGAAAGGGCAGGCCAACTGTATCAAACACAATTAAAAAAAAAACCTTCCCCCCAACAAAACCTACCAGGGAGAAAAGAAAAAGCCTCTATTGGGGTTGAGAGAAGACAGAGAAGAAGGGGAGGAATAATGTATACTGCATTGAAACAGATGAGGGAGAGAAAGGGATATATGATAGGGTATTACTGTCATGACAGAAGTCCAGAACCAAGCCTGCACAGTGGAGTGGACTTGGGGGGAGGGATTGCATAACAATGAAAGATTTTTTCTATTACTTTTCAAGGAGAAGAGTGAATTGAGGGGGAGGAGGTAGGCAGGGAGAAAAGAGCAACAATGAATGAATGTAAACTTTAAGTCTCTGTAAACTTTCATTAAAATTAATAAAAAAAGTAAACAAACAGTAATTCTCAACTAATGGGGCACCAAGAGCTTATTAAAAATGCAGGCCTCTGATTATTACACTCAGAGATACTGATCTCCTAGGCTTAAAACAGAGTCAAAATCATTAATCTCAAATGACTAGGATGACAGACTTCTGTAGTCTCAACAGTATTGACAGGCAGGCCATTTAGGAGCATCCCTGGCCTCTACACACGTTATGCTGTTGTTGTTGTATACTGCTGAGTGGAAACTGATCTATAGCTTACCCTCCAGTTTTCAAAGGGTTTTAAAAGGTAGTTAATCACACGGGAAATTGCCCATTATTCACCCGTGGAGCAGTTGGTGGATTTGAACCAAAATCCACCAGCCCAACTCCTTACCACTAGGCCACCAGAACCTCCAGGCCTCTACACACACCAGATACCAATTGCACCCGCTCCATCCCCCACCCACCTCCACCCCATAACACACACAACATTCCCAGCTGTGACCACAGAAGAGGTCTTATAACCAAGCATATAATGGAGAACAAAACTGACCCTGGCTGAGAACCAGGCACAGAAGCTGCGCAACAACCAACCATCCATTCTTACTCAGAGACATGAAAGGATAAGAAAGAAGTAAAAGAGTAGAGATATGTGCATACACATACATTTCAAATTGAAATAAACAAGTTTCCCAAAAGGAAATCTGATTAGACACCATAAACTCCTGACAACTCAGCTAAGCTTTTAAGTCAAAGCTCTTCTTATGTAATTTCAACTTGAAGATTCGCTCCCTAGCTTCTATTTTAGATTATTTTTAATTAACTTCACCGGCATTTTGCATCCTGCTATGAAAAGTCAGCCTAATAGTCTCAGAGGACTCTCCCAAGAGGGAAGAGTGCATTAAATCACACATTATCACATTAAAGTACATTCCAGCACTCAGAGTCCAATAGTCTAAGCCTTGGCAAACGCAACCAGGAAAGGGGGGTGGGGAGCAGGCAGTGCAGGGACTGGGAAAGACTCAAGTGATTCACAATATCCAAAGCCTATTATCTTCGATGCATCCATCCGTACAAAAGAAGGTGGGGGGGGAGTTGTATTGATTCTCAACTTCAATCACATTCATCACAATGATTTACAACACATTTTGCAATCTGGGCACCAACTCTGATTTCTAGCTACTGGCATATGTGAGACCCCGGGCAAGTCACTTAAGGTGGATGTTGGGGTAAATTATTTCTACAGGACCTTCAAACTCAATGCAAAACTAATGCGTGAACATTTACCTAAGAGACTATTTGGATTACAGTTAACTCTTACACCAAAGAGTATATACTGATATTTTCATTGTTACTTGAGAAATCAAAAATTTCAAGACGTTTAAAAGACAGCATTTAAAGGCGCTGTGGTGGCCTAGTGGCAAGAAGTTGCACTGCAATCCCAGGGATATGTGGTTGGAATCCACCAGATGCTTTGCTGGAGGAGGGGCAATCTCCTCCTGTACACACACAAAGTAATAATTTCTTTTAAAAAGTTAATTTAAAAAAGACAGCATTTAAAGATAGATAGATAGATAGATAGATAGATAGATAGATAGATAGATCTCATTCTCTTCTGGAACAACTGAGCACGGCCCAAATTCTCCTCCACTCACTCACTTGGGGCACACACTTTACATGAGAAGGCCAATCAGTCTTTCAGAAGCTCAGCAAAAGCAGGAAAACCATTTAAAATCACATTTTCATGTTCTAATTACTGTAGCAGAGATCACAAACCAGGGCTAAGAGGTCACATCCTGCTAGTAGGTGTGTTTTGCTTCCACTGGGCTGGACAACAGTTATACTGAATTAATCAGATGCCAACTTTTCAAAATGGGGAGATGATACATGAAAAATCCAGACTGGGAGCCATAACTCACCCTCTATCAGAGGGGTTGATGCAGTGGTTACAAGAGAGAAAGCAGGGAAGAGATGGTGAAGGCAGCATGAGATCTGGTAGGCTTTCATTCGGCAGGAGTCTGGAGCGTCCGCAACAACCGCCACCATGCACATGACAACTAGCTGGAGCTCAGAACTATTGTTCTCAGGCCCAGGAGCTCTTGATCCCTGCAGTCTCCAGCTGCTCCCTATTGTGTGCCGTTCAACACAGAACCCATCCTACAGCTTCCTCTCTTACAGTATGGGAGTTTATAGCCCTGTGCTATAAAAATGATTAAAATTTAAAAAAATGGTTAAAATAGACAAAACCAAAAATTACTATTTTTCAAAGCAGTAGTGAAGCTTTGCAGAATCACAGAAAATGGGTCCAAGTGTTAGGGAGGCAGGGCTAATCTCTAAAAAAAAAAAAAGACCATCTCTCTGTAACTCTTAACTGATAAGCAGGTTGGACTACGCAGTTTTCAAAGGATGTAGAAAGGAACCTGGGGTTTGTTGGGGAGTGTTGACTAGGGAATCTCTAAAATCAATTGACACTCTGAAGTTCTGAGCCTCTCATTAGCAGAAGGGCTAGCTCACTGGATAGCTCATCACAACAAAAGTGTATGTTTAACTTTGTTGGCAGAGAAAGGCTTAATCTTATTCTTCATTTTCATGAAAAGATCCTTTTTGCTAACTTTGGCGGAATACCGTTTTTTTACATATTTTCTCATACAGAATTTTAACATTTAGTTTCAATTAACCAAGCAGCCACATCCTAGCAGAAAATTACTAAACTATTCTTCAGGAAGGATGTCAAAGAATCCAATGATACAGGGAAGATGATAAAAGAAATTGAGGAATAGCGTTAAGAGCAGAGTGAACAGTGAGCAAAGCTTCTTTTGCAAGGTCATTTGTACTTTTTAAAGCTGCTGAATATAACCCAGGTAACCATGGGAAACTGTACCTTAAGGCTTCTTCCCTCACCCCTTGCTTTAAAAAAAAAAAAGTTTTCTTTAAATACATCTGATGAAATCAGCCTGCTGGAGATAGACTCACTTTTAAAACTAAACCTTTACAACTAAATGAATGCTTATTTAAAGAATATTTTGAGTCAAATTCGAAAACTAATAAGGAAGCCAAGTGTAAGACTGTTACAAAAGCTAAACCAATTTTCAGGTCAAATATCATCCACCCAGTGTTCTCTCTGGTGATCATATGTGTGTTTCTTAAACCAAACATTCTCGTTCGGGCCATTCCAGATGCTCTGCTTCTGAAGGTCAGGTCATGTGACACCAGGCAGCATCCACTACACAGGTGCATCACGGGCCTCTGCCAGTTCTTCACACTAACTTTCAAAAAGCACCCTATTCAAATTAATATGGACAGTACAGCCATCAACAAGTTCAAAATCAAAAGTACTTCTGCCAGCAGTGGTCGCTCATTTCTGACATAAGCATTGTTTAACAACGGCGATTAACAAGTGTGAGTGCACACAGCACATCAATGACTGGATATGACTACTGGGGGCAATGCCTAAGGACAGGAAAAGGATGGTGGTGACAATACAATCTGTAGTACATGGGCTGCTTCTGGGAAAACATATGTTTATTATTCTACTTCTCAGATTTTTCTGTAGCTAATCATTTTTTCTTTTCTCTGTTTAAAAAGCATGAGTCACGCTGAGGATGTCAAAAATACAGAGAAACGTGATTCCAGTTAACAGCCCTGAATGCCAGAGCACTGTCATTTATTTCCACGGGTATTTTCTTTTATCTACTATGAGTTCAACATCACATTTGTATCTTCTTTTCTACTGGTTTCTGCCTTAAAAAAACAAAGCAAAACAAAACACCACCCAAGAAGTTCACTATTGTTACAGGAAGAAATGCTGGCAAGAAGATAAAACCAGGAATACAAAGTGGATTTTGGTACCTGTAAAGTTCTTCTCTGTGACTGTCAGAAGTCGAAATCAGAATTTGGGGGGATACATTGGAAGAGCAAGGTACCTGTGCCTCAACATCAATGCAAAATCTGAATTCTATTATGTCCAAGATAAAACAACTAGTATATTTTTTCACTTTACTCATGAACTTGCAATGGAAGTTTCCCAGAAACAAAGTGTTTTGTTTATAGACTACATTATGTTTACACTTCTGGAAAGAGTAGAAAAGGGGCTCATTCATTCTTGGAAAGTGCTTCTTTGAAAACATTTTTACTTCAAATCAAAACCTAAGAGCTGTCATTGCTGAGAAAATCTGGATTCACCAACGAGTTGCAAAGGAGCACCCCAAGAAACAGAAAAGATGAAAAGGAGCTGACTTGCTGCTTCAGCGAGCACAGGTCCTCCTGCATGGCTGAAAGGATGAAAATCCAAGAGACCTAGGAGAGAAGCACTTGTAGAACTCACATCTTTGAGTCCTAGGCCCAGAAATGCATCTGTTCAAGAAAGAAGCCACCCTGTCATCCTGTTTCCCTGCAGCAGAAGGAAGTGGGAGAGGAGCGAAGGCTGTTGATCTGGGGCAGGAATCCTGAAGAACTTGCTGGATGGAGTTCACTCCCAACTGGCAAAAGTTCAGAAGGACCAGGTGAGACTGGTCCGCACTGTCCCCTCTCCCCGGTCAGTAAATGCTTCCGGCTGAAAAATGCAACACGGACAAAGAAACTTGCAACTTGCAAGCTGTCACTCACCCTGGGCCGGGGCTCCGAGCCGCCCGCTGCCCGCTTCCGCCGCGCGCTGCGGCCCCGCAGGCCCGGGGACCAGGGCTTCGCCCGCGCCGGACATGGGCCGCCGCCACCTAGATGGCCGTCCCGCGGGCCAGACGCACGACGGGCTGGAGGGTGCTGTCTACAGGGGACCGACTGCTCCTGTGGTTCAAAAACAATGTTTTTCATGAAGAGCACGCCACTCATGCGGGACATTCCCTCCCCCTCGGCGTCCCTCCCCCTAACCCCACCCTGGGGAAGTTTGGATTTGAACCTAGAGGAAAACTGTTAGCCCGCAAAGTTGAGCGCGCCTCAGTCCCGCTGGCTGGAGGGGGACAGGGGGGCGGGGAAGGGAGTTAGGGACCCGCTGGGAAGGGACCCCGGCCCCTCCTTCCCGGAGGGGCCGCCCACCACCTACCTCGGCATCCCCCCCCACGGCGCTCGAGCCCCCTTCCTGCGCCTCTCGTTCCGCCCAGAAAGTTGGCGAAGGCTGCGGCCGCCGCGCCCCTCACCGTGGCCTGGCGGGGCCGCCCTGCGCCCTGGCGCCCGCCTCCCTCCCGCGCCTCGCGGGCGCAGCGGCTCCGCGCACTCCGCCCCTCGCCCGGAGCGCACGGCCCCCGAGAGGACTGACCCCGCGGCCGCCTTGCACTCCCACTCCCCGGCAAGACTTCACCCTCCGTGGCGCCTTTTCATCACTTCCGGCTCGGGGAGGCCTCGAACTCCTGGCGGACGGCCCCCGGGACTAGGGGGCGGCGCGACCCGGCCTTCCCCGCCTGCTGCTCAAGGCGGTGCTGTCTGAGTCACAAGGCCGCAGCCAGAGGCGCCTGGAGGCTTTCCCCCAGGGCCCTCCAGAGCCGGGAAAAGGTCTCCTTGCCACCCAGGCTTCAGTCACCCGGTGCCCTCTTCTCCAACTCCCTTAATCACAATAACGCGCCTAAGCCGCCTGGCAGAGGAATCCCTTAAGGGAAGTAGAATCCTTCACAGGGGACTGGACAAAACTAAAAAGCACTAAACTACCGCACTCTCCAAATGGAATTTATAGTGTGCATTTCAAATGATCTCTAGCTGGTAGTTTTAAGCTTTGGCTATGAAGTTACTTTTAGACTATTTTTTTGTTATTTATTTTGGTCTAACAGGTTCCTTGGCCAGGTTAAACCAGTCTAGAGAATTTGTTGGAGGCATACAGCCAGAAAAGGGTGGCATGCCTGACTGCCTCAAGGAGCAAAGCAGAGACCCGCCTATCACAGCCTTAACATATGACTACACCCAGGGTTTCTGTCTGGAGATAACTTGTGATCAGAAGTTAAAAGCTGATCAGCTGTCTCTATAAATGAGGAGCTCTGATTGTAGGCTAATCTGATGAACCAAGAATGAGAAGTAGAAAGTAATTTGCAGACATAAAGTACTTTAGTAATGCATTCATATAACCTTTGCTCTTTATTTCATTGGGAGTAAAATGGCGAATTCACTTGTAGAAAGTGAGCATGAACTTATTCTTTGAATTTCCACAAGAGCCAGGATCACAGTAATGTTATCAAAATGAGGGTCTGGGGGGGGGAAGAGTGCTTGGGAGACATCGTGTCTCTGGAAGAATCAGCAAGGAAATCCCAGGTATTTTTGTTGCTTCAAAAAAGCCAATTAAAATTGATTTCAATTGATTGAGAAGATCCATTTCATACCTTTAAAGAGTCAGTGCATCCAAGCTTGCTTTCAATTAACCTCAAAAAAAACACTGGGTTCAGAGTTGCCAACCACAGACATACACAGAGCTTTACTCCCCAAAAGACAAATGACATTTTGTCCAATGAACTTGAACAAATGTGTCTTTTTCTTTCTTTCTTTCTTCTTTTAATTTAGCAATTTCTGAGGTGGAGTTTCCTTGCCTAGGAACCTGAATTATTTGGAATCTGCTGGATGGAAGTACATGGATGCCGGATATGGATGCTGGAAGTGGGTGACTTGTCTTTAGAGAGCAAACATTTAGAAAGTGTCACTGTCTCCTGCACCCAAATCTGCACTCAAAGGAAGAAAGCACAAAGCAGCTACTGTGGAAGATTCTGGTTTAGCTCTTCACCTCCTTACTGTTTCATCCTCTCACTAAGATGGTGGGTCAAGGAATGTCAGGAAGTCCTGGTGCTCTTCCATTAAGCTATCCTCAGTGACAAAAAGCCACCATATTTAATGTTTCACCCATGGCAGATGGAATTAAATTTAAGTGTCTTACTCTTTAATGAGAAAGAAATAAAATTCACATTAAAATATTAGGAACAAATGAGAAGCTAAGGCTTGTCATCACCATGATGGCCAAACTCCATATCCTATTCAGTCCTTTGTTAGCTTCATGGCTTTGCAAAAATTAGTCAATTGTCTATGCCTTGGTTTCCTCATAAAGTGAGGATAATAGAAACTACTCATAGAGTTCTTATGAGGACTTGTTGTTGTTGATGTTGTGTAACACGGAGTCAGAACTGACCCTCCAGCAGGTTTTCAGAGGCAGTTCATTGATTGCATGGGAAGAGATTGCCCATCCTTCTCCCATGGAGTAGCAGTTGGCCTTGAACCACGTGCCTTTGGGATTGCACTGCAGCTTCTTGTCACTAGGCCACCAGACCTCCCTTATGAGGACTAATTAATTTTTTGACAGCACTTGGAAAAAAATGTTACATATTGGGGGCTTGGGGAGCTCAGAAATGTTAACTCTTATCATCATCATCATCGGTTAATGAATAGAGAAGACCAAAGAAGAATCAAGGTTTTTCAATTGTGTTGTTGAAGAAGAATGTTGATTATCCAGTGGACTGCCAAAAGAACAAACAAATACACCTTAGAGAAAGTAGTTAGCGTACTCATTAGAAGTGAAGATGTGAAAATTTGCCCTACTTTCTTTAGACATGTTTTCAGGAAGGCTAAATCCATGGAGAAGGATGTCATGTTTGGAAAAGTTGTTGTGTCATGTCATGTGTGTCCTGTCATAGGAGTTAGAACTGACCCATAGCAGACCCTCTAGCAAGTTTCCAAAGGTGTTTAATTGAACCAGAGGAGATTGTCCATCCTCCCATTGAGCTGCCAGTGGATTCAAGCCACGTGCCTTTGGGATTGCAGCACAGCTTTGTACCACTTGGCCGCCAGAGCATCCTTGGAAAAATAGAAGGCCAGCAAAAAAGAGGAAGACCTCTTTGAAATGGCCTGAAGTAGTCCCTATAATAATGGGCTTGTTAAATACCGCAGCAACTCAGGGGATGCTGTAGAACTTGATGTTGTTATTATTAGGTGCCCATGAGGCAAGTAAGGCTCACAGTGACTCTATGAACAGCCAATGTGAACCCTGGTGAAGAACTGGGTAGTGATTTATTTGGTTGTCATAGGGACCCTTTGGGTTGCAACTGACTTGACAGCACCTAGCAACAACTACCATTATAAAGCTGGAAGATTTTGCTCAGTAAAATTGGTCATGGCATATGATTCAATCACAAGCGCTACATCAAATTGCCAAGTATCTATGCCACGTGCTTTGCTTATATTATCTTACCAAGTTCTTACATCAGCCCTATAAGGAATTGCCAACATTGCATTACTAGTAAGTAGCTAAGACAGGTTTCAAGCTTAGTTCTGTCTGACTTAAATCTATACTTAGGTAAACCTGGGTCTTTATAGTGACAAGATCCAGAAGGGGTCTTAATGCTATAGACTGGGCTTAGATAAGTGTCTTAGTCACCTAGTGATGTAGGAAGAAAAATACACAATGGGCAGCTTCAAAGACCAGGAATTTGTTGATTTTCAGACTTTGGAAGCTGAAGCCCAAATTCTTTGAGCTTCTGAGGGCTCCAAGTATTTCTCAGTTTGCAGAAGGCTCTCCATCTGGCCTCTCTTTGTATAAGTCTCTCACTGTCTGTTATCCCTTTTTATAAGGCATCTCTCAGAAGGGATAGGAAGACCCAGGATGAGATGGATTGACACAGTAACTGGGGTAACAGGGGTAGGTGCTTCAAAGGCAGTGAGATTGGCTCAGGATAGGCCAGGGTTCAGAGATATTGTTCATAAGGTCCCTTGAGCAGACTTAAGAGCACATAATAACAGAGGAATTAGGGTTAGGACAAACCCTACTCCATCAAACTTCATTAAAATAACAAAAGAAAATTTATTTCCAAACCACATCACAGTTACAGGTACCTGTGTCAAGACCTCAATATATCTTTGTGGGGAGATATATACAGGACCTCAATATAGCTTTATGAGAGGAGACATTCATTTATAACCTGTGGCTTGTGGGCTCCTAGTAATCTCAAATATGTTGTTGTTGTTGTTGTTAGGCATATGACTCAGAAACCCTATGAACAAGAGACCTGAACCTTGTCCTGTCTTGTGCTGTCCTCATCATCACTGACATACTGACATTGCTTCAGTCACTATTTCAGTCCATCTCGCTTGGGGTCTTCCCCTTCTTGGCTGACCTTCTGCCTTTCCAAGGGCAAAGTTGCTCACCTCTGGGCCAATAGGCAACATCATGACAGATAGAGAAGGATTGAACTTGTCAATGATTTCATCTTGTTTGGATCAATAATCTCAAATACAAGATTTCCAAATCTTTACCTTTTCATTCAACAAATACATATATGAGAGGGCAATGTGGATATACAGCTCCTATTCGGACCATTGCTCAGGTTTTGGCAAAGGAAGTTCTTGGTGTTACAATAATGTGCCACAAGCCAATCCAAATTAATTGAGGCATCAAGGAACAGTTTCTGAAGAAAGCTACAATTCAGCTGAAAGCAGAAAAACTTGATGGGATCTGGATAAAAGGAAATAGGACAAATTATTACCAAAGCAGAAGTAGAAAGCCAGAGAGGCTTGAGGTTAGCCTAGCATCTTTGAAGAACTAAAGAAAGTTGACTATAAGAAAATGGTTAAATGCACAGAGGAGCATGATGGTGTATGAAGTTTAAGACGTGAAAAGGGCCTTATTGTGAAATGGCTTGAACTCATGCGTCAGAAATCCCAACTTCAAACAGGTGGATACATTATCCAAACTACTATTTCTACAATCAGTCTGATATACCATGTAAAACTATTTGGAAAGGA